CAGTTCAGCAACTTCATTTTCTACAGCACCCTAAAGCAACTTCCTCAGAGGTACAGTACCATCCTCCTGCATCAAATGCTTAATTGTCTCAAAGCAAATTTCTTTTTTTTTTTTAATATTCAGGCCCTTAATTACTGTCTTACTATAGAACGCCTCCTCACTGAAGGAATAGCTGCCTCACTGACCCCCAATCATTTCAAGGGTACAAGTTTTATTCCTTGTGTAGATCACTCCCACCTCCATCTTTTAAAACCTGAGATCTGCCACCTTGCAAAGATTTGTCATTTCCTCTTTAAATCTAAATCACCTGAAAACAAAAAGAATAATGCACATGAAGGAAAATTTTATTTACAGAGTGTTTTTTTAGATTAGGCAGATCAGAAATTAAAGACTACAAACGTAGCTGCTCAGGTGCTGCAACCCAGCTAAGTAAATGCATTTCAATTATAAATTAATATTGGATGCTGTTCTCCAGAAAAAGCAGTTCAAGACAACTGAGTGTGAGCAGGGTTACAACTTTCCAAAATTAGCCTGACATGATCTAATTCAGCTTCAGTGGGAGTTAGATTGGGCCACATGCCCATGGCTACCTGAGTCTAACTGCTGCCTCTCAAAAACAATAGTTAAATGAAAACTGTCTCATTACTACCATAATTAACCTGTCCCAGCCACATACATGTGTAATTACTTCTTTTTTTTTAATTGCAGTGTATGTCAAAGTTTCCATACAATTGCATGAGCACTTCAAGACAGACTTTTACACAGCTATTTCACGTACTGAGCAAGAAGGCTGGCAAAGAGAGGCAAGAAGGTTACACTGGAAAGATAAGCCCGTTATCAGTGTTACAGAGTGAAGAATAACTTCCTTGACAGTGTGAGGTGGTCTCTTGCTATCCAAAACTCAGCGCTCTTATTTAAAAGAGGTTTCCTAAATCCTCCAAAAGTAGCAGCCACCCTTTGCTGTTATGAGATGAAAACCCTGTATAACATTCAACCACATGTACCAGTAACTGCTCAACTGTTGCTGCCAGGGATTTTTTCCACATATCACACAAATACATCACCTGTCATAGAAAAATACATTCTTAACACTCAGTTGCTGCTACATTAATTTATTTGCAGCACCAGGAAGCAGCCTTGAGGGAAAAAAATAATTAAAAATTGCTCTTTCATCTTGATGTTATTTTAATGTGAATGTTTCATTACAGCATTATATCTATGACCAACAAGAGAGATCATTTAAGTCTTTAGCTACTTAATTTCTATTTAACTGGCTATTATGAATGATTGAAGAACTAATAAATTTGTCTTCAAAACAGTCTCAGAATTTAGGAGGCATTTTGTAGTCATAACAGGCAGATATTTAGCATGTCAAACTAAATATTTGACAAGGCCAACAAAGTAAATATATCTCAACACACTGACCCAGGAAGCCACAGTTGGCCCCTTTTGGAGACTGTTAAGGGGTATATGAGTATACTGGCTGAAAATATAAGATGGAAGAAGAGTGAATCTATCCATGAGAGATTGATCACAGAAGAAGAAAGCACATCTTTCCCTTGTCTTGCAAAAGTGCAAGTTGAAGTTAGAGGATGAGTGGTTGTTTCTGAACATCTGCATTTGAGCAGCTCCAAACTCCACAGGCAAATCTTGAAATGAGAAACAGACACCATTCTCCAACCACTTCTCCTGGCATCAGGAAACAGCTATCTTAATCTCTGCCTTTTTAATAACTCCAGACTGTGGCTTCTAGACTATCACCCATCCTACAGTATTTGCAAAATTCTAGCTGGAGGGATTAGCAACCAACAGCTACTCAAATCTGCCTGGATTATCTTTAAGATAGAAGAGATGAATATTATGACTACTCAGATGTATGATTGTTTTAAATTACCAGCTGTGCATTAGGAAGCAGTAAGGATTAAATTTCAGGCTTCTAGAACCTGTTTGTCCTCAATCTTATTTTTCATTTGTATAAAAATTTTGTTACAGGACAGGTTGGATTACATGTATTTATACTCTAATCCAACATAAATTTAAAAAAAACAACAACAAACTGTTCTGTTCTACACAGATACAGTTGTGAGATAAATGTTTTGACATCCTAAAAACAACATTGACATTATCTTAAATGTTACACTTAATTTTTCTAATTGCTATATGTCACGACAATGATAATTTGCTATATCTAACATGTATTAAGATCTTAATTTTGTCTTCTTGAATCATTTATGGTCTAGCTGTATCTTTCAACACATCACTGTTAAGTATCATAGAAAAACGGCAACCAAAAGATTGTATAAAGTAATTGTTTTATTCCATTCTTTTTCTGGGTGGATTTAGCTCAAGGGTCTATCAGTATTCTGCTGTTTCCACAGATCCTTCATATAGCTGCAAGGAAACATCTTTAAACGAACAACTGCAATTTTCCTTAAAAATTCAGCTTTAAATTGATTAGCATCATCAGCAAGGTCTTCAAGTTCCATTCGTTTTTAAACTACAGCTGAATTCCTGTTTGTCATTCCAGGAACTTTTTATTCTGTATGATTTCACTGGAAATGAGGAAAAAAAAACATTTACAAATACTTAGTTAACTGTTGGCTGAATTAATCAGGCTTCACATAATTGTACACCAATCATCTCCACTTCAACATTTCCAGGATCATAAGTACAGTTCCAGGAGGTCTCCTACCTTACTTTGGGCCATTCAAGAACTTTGTTTATCAAAAATACAGATGAAAAATAATGCTCTTACAGTTCACAGGCTATAGTGAAATAACCTTCTGCAGAAGATTTCCCATGTGACTGTGACCTGTTCAATTTAATAATCTAAAAGGTCTGGAAACACAGATTGGCACAGCCTGTGCAGCTAACCTTGCTAATGTCCTCACAGCACTCTGTCAACTATAACAGAAAGGCTGGAAGAGTGCCCAAGAAAGGTATCCAGTAACTAATACAAAGCTTCCCAACAATTCTATAAAAACTCAACCTTGCCAAAGTAAGAATTCTGTACTTAATATACGTGCCAAAATATAATCTTACAGCACCAAAATGGGTTCTGGAAGGAGCTGAGAAACCATGAACACAACACCACTTGGAATGTGGGTCAGTAACACTGCAGGGGTCTGTGTGCTGCAGCCTCCCTGCTTTTTCACCCCTGCAGCTTTCTCAAGTATGCTGTACCTCCAGAATGGTGCTGGCAGAGTGCTGGATGTCAGCAGCCAGGAGCAGCCCCACCTTTGTCAGATGCAGCATTGGTAGAGCTTCACAAACAAAACTCCAGAGTGGTAAACAAGGCCATCCTTGCTGCTGGAATGGCCCATCTCCATCTCCTAACCCAGTCAAAGCAGACTGACAACCTTGCTCTGAAGCAACCTCCTTTGCTTGTGCTTATGCCTAAAGCCAAATTTGCCTATTATGAAAATGGAAGGTGACACAATAACACAAAACAGTTGGAGTCAGTAGAAATGTACACTGCAGCATTCAATTACAGCTGGGTGAATTAAGGACTGTGTTACAGATTTAATCCACCCCATCCCCCCCCCACCCCTTTGCAAATCAAAATAGATCTTTTGGTATCAAAAAATCCATTTAAAATTATTTGATGATCTTATCGTTCAACAACTGAATTAATTCAGTTTGTAATTTTTATCCTTTGAGAAGAACAAGCACAAGTAATTTAGTAATAACCTGGTCTTCCTCTTTTGGGGAGACAGAAAGGGACAAGGAATTACCTTTACAGGTGTTCTTCCTCCCTGCACAACACTAACTCCAGTTACGTTTGGGCATGACTCTTACCGAAGTCAAGCAGAGTCTGTTCTGCACTGCACAGTGACACTGATCCCAAATGGTGATTGTTCACTGGTTCTACAAACAGTACTGTCAACCAAATGTTTTACCAGCTTCTTTACCCATTCATACTGCACACACTTTCCAAGTTAAAGACCACTGGTTTTTAGCATGCCAAACCAAACTCTCATTTTGATCCAACTTCCTTACAAACACCAGACCCTACAGCCATTTTAGCAAGCACCAGTGATAAGTATCAGCATCTTCACACTGAAGCTAATTCAAACACTATCATTCCTAAACACAAGCTATTCATTTGGCATTCTACAGCTGTAAATGCTATCCAATTACACACCTTCATTTCCCAAAATACTTTCCACTGATAAAGAACTCTTGACATACACAACAGTTGTACCTCCATTTACATACCTAACTTTATTCAACTTCCTTTTCACAATTCTTATTTAGAGAAGGTTATCCAAATGTTTAGATTAGGCCACTAACTCAGCTTCTTTACATGTTCTTAACTTTTGGAACACAGTGTAACAGTGTACCTGCTAATTATGATCTTGCTTCTGTCTTACCAGGTTAAGGGGTCTGGTCCCTTGATTTGGATCTGTATGTTAGGCTGATTTGATAATAAATAACTGAAAAGAAAATTACATTGCTCAAACTAATATTCTTTGAACATCATGTCGAAGTCAGCCCTTACCAGAGATATGCCAAAGAAAGAAGTCAGATTTCAGAGACTGTTAGAGAGAACTTGTGATACAAGACCAGTTCTACCACTCAAAACTACCTGTGATTTATGACTGAACAGACAGGCCAAACTTTCCAAAGGTACCATAGTGTTAATGAAACCACTGGCCTCTTCTCAACAAAGTCATGAATCTTCTGAATACCTGCACAGGCTTATGGGGTTGAGCATCCAAATATCAAAACACACAAGATTAGAGACCATTTTGAAAAATATAAACTGTATTCAGCAGTTGCCAATACAAACAATCCTCTTGTAAGCATTTAGCTCATGATTTGTGGAGCAATGTGGAATATGAGTGTGACAAACTTCCTAAGGGAAGGCTCTGCTCTGTTTGCCATCTCTGTGACACAGAAAGATCACAGGTTTCACATTTAACAGTAGCACAAAAAGAAGGCTCTTTCCCTAAAATCTTTATACCATGAAAAGACAGAAACACAAAGATCTGACTTACTGTAAGGTGTTGTATCAGTGGGGTCAGGAGGCGGGAAGTTTTCTGTGAAGTTGACATTACACAAGTCTGTACTACAGCAGCAGAAGCGGTATGTTCCATTCTGAATCAGGGAAGGGGTGGTTGTAACTATACACTCCTCAAAGTGACACTCCTGTGGGTCTCCTATGTGAGACCAGCAACCTGCAAAAAGAAGCAAATGACTTTTTTTTCCCCCAGGTAATAGTAAAATTAATTCTACTGACTGGATAAACACACCTACAGAAATTCATACATTACCTGATTAAACATTACAGAGTGGGGTGAGAACAGTTATCATAATCTGCTTGTCTGACTTTACTACCATCTTTTAAACCAAAACCTGAAGAATTTCTTTTAGAACTCCCCATGGTCAAGGAGAAGAAAACATGGGCAGGGATGAAGGCTAACGTCCAGCTGTTGCCTTACTATGATAAAATCTGAATTTCTGAGCCTTCTAAGCAGAAATATGCTATTCCTCATCTCTCTGATACCACAGACCATATCACCATTTTCTAGTCCACAGACTACATGAGTTGTGACCCAATCCCTTCCTCAGGCCACAAGACTGCATCTACAGCTTGGTGCTTCTTGCATAATTTTCAAAATTCTGCCCTTCCTCATTGTCAGCATCACTGGACTTTTCTACAGGACCACAGCTTATTGCCTGGTTCATACCAGGTCCTTTGTCCCTGCAGCAACTGTTCATTCCCAAGCATGGTCAACAGCAGTTAAATGTCATTTATCCACAAATACCTGGAAGGGAAAGGGGCAGCAGTGGGGCAGAGGTGAGGAGTCAAGCTGCTCCCTTCAGCAGATTGCCAGATCAAACAGGAATCATGGACTACAGCTCCACAGGCTATTTGTAAACACCAGCTGCATTTTCATTCAGCATTATACTGCATTAACTTGCATCCAAGTAAAAAAGAGAAGAATCCCTGAGAATCATAATCAAATGTGTCTCCAGAAATTGCAAGGCCCTCCACACTTCCTACCTTCATTCTCCTCACAGAGCAGCACTGATATCTGATATATACTGCAATTTCCTTTGTATGCAAACATCCAATCAATATGATTTTTTTTTTTTACTTAATAAGACACTTACTGCTAAATTTATCATTACATCAATACATATACTGAAATTCAAGGAAGTCATCTTCCTCTGGACGAGGAAGAAATTTGAATGCTTCTTCTTTCAACAGTACATTGATGTCTTTGGTCTCTTTTAGAAGTTATTAAATTGAAACACACTTTCTGTTCACATTTAAAATAGTTAAATGGGAGTTTAAAACTATGCATTTCAACAATGTACAAGAAGTCTAGTTCTGCAGCTGTGCAGCTTTGGATGAGCTGGCTAGATCACAAAGAAGGGAAATAAGTAACAAAACTACTGCACTAAAACAGAACTGTTACATACCTTGTTTTACAAGATGTATGTCTCCTTCTCTTGTTTTTTCCCAAAGTCCATAGCAGGTACTACCTTTCATGCACAAAATTGTGCCATTCTCCTGGGAGATTCGGCTCTCACTGATTCCATGGTCCTGCTGATAGGGGTCTTTAAATGCACACAGCCGCTCCTCACTCTGGGTAGCTTTAGCCAAAGAAAGAAAAATCATTTTTGTCAGTGATTCCATGCATAAAATATTAACTTTAATAAAGAGATGATTAAGGTCTTCTGAAAAGATACATTCAAAAAAAGCTAGATGAGTAACTACAAGGCACTTAGATGCTATTCAGAAGTACAGCTCAGCAAACATCCAATCACAGTAAGAATTTGTAGTACATTTTTCAGCAACTAGACTTCATCCAGTTCTTTAACTCCCATCAAAGCATTGGCAGCAAAAAGATGCAAGATGAAGTAGATTGGTCTTTTGGGTAAAAGAGATTTTGAACTTAAAGTAAAATTATAGCATATGTAATAGTAAATTATTAAAGGTCCTCTATAAAATATCTTCTCACAGATGGTTTATTTCTTTGATCATTCTTCAGCACTACTCCCAGAGAAGCCATGTTTCAGCAAGGCAGACCTACTGCAAGAACACTGCTTCACTGTGTCACCAGCTGGGGTGATTGGATAAGAAAAACCCAGAGACCTGGATACATGTGTCTCACTTTTAAGGCTGTTACTATTCATTAGGAGTCAAAATTTGTAGTTCCTTTATGCTGAGACAACTATAGATTGCTGCACTATTCAGGCCAACATTCTATCAGTGTTTACCAGTTTATGGTGTGGCAGCAGTAATTAAAATAGCACAACTTAGCTGATTTTTCTACTGGTTTGGCAGAGCATGTGTGATCAGTTGAGCTGCATGTCAGCTCAGTGGGGGCAAAACTTTCAGCTGAGGAGAGAGAAACTTCTTAAGCCAGTGTAATTCAATCCCTTGCAGCTCTCCACACTCCAAGAACCTGGCTGGCAGTCCATGTTACTCACCCACCTCTCTGAACTCTGGTCAGAAAGTCAGTTGCCTAAATTTCACATCTGATTTTTTTTAAAAAATCTCTCTGCTCTGAGCAGAGTTAGTCAAGTTACTGAGTACAAAAAGGTCACACATGGACAGCCAGCACATGCTGCCTGCAGCAGAACCTGCCAGTTGCACGCTGCAGTTTTATTCTCAGAACAGCTGAGTATGCCAGGCGTGAAGCATCTGTGCTGCATTCTCTGCTCCGTGACATGGCACTGGCCAGGAGACAGTGCAGCACAGGACAGCACCCACGGCCGGAAGGGAGCTGCATCTGACTCACTTCTTGGAAAGTCAAAGGAGAAAAAACTAACACAGAATTATAATTTTCAAGACACAATGGGACAAAAGTATACAGCCTTGTGAAATAGGACACATCTGCTCTGAGGGACAGTAGGAAGGTTTTAAACCCGCTTGCATATGATAGCTGAGTGGGGCTAAGGCCATCCAAGATCTGGTTGTTTACAAAATGCTCAAATTGCACCAAGATAAGCCCTTTCATAACTTGCCTTTGTGAAAAATTGATTAAAGGAACGGAATTTATGAAACAGCCACACAAATCTGGTTTCCTTATTTAAAAAGAAAAGTAATTTCCAAGAAAGTCCACTTTAATAATACCTCAATATGTTAAAAAAAAAATCTTTGAACCCATGAACTAATAGAAGATGAAAAAAGACCAAAACAAACCAAAACATTTTGAGTTTGCCTTGGACTCAGACAAAAAATAATTACATGTATCGTGTCTGTGCACCACCAACTGAGACAGCTTTAATTTCTCACTTTTCAGGTCGCTTAATCCTTCTATAAAACTCCTAGGATCAAGATTGAGAGGTAAGAATATGAGAACACACCCAAAAAAAGAGAAGCTGTTAAGAGTCATGCTAGATGCTATCCAAACATACACATACTACAGAAAATAAAAGTAACTACCAAAAGCTTTTCTGATTTAAAAAGACTGCATTTCCCTATAAGAATACCAGCAGAGGGGAGGATGGGGCAAGCATGAGAAAACACAACACAGCGCTAGCTACCTGATTGTCTAACAATTTTCTTGCAAAGCAATAAAAATACAAGTGAACTTGACACAATTTAACGTCAGATGATCTCAGTGGGAAACTTTTCCAATAAAAAAACAAAGGTTACTCATCCAAGAAGTAGAGTTTTCATGCTGATCACTGCACATTCCTGCTTCGATTATAACTCGGAGAAGCACGGCCCCTGTGGGAGCAGTACCCACTGCAATACTCTGCTGACCCCTGCCCCTTCCCTGATGGCATGGAACATCTGGAGAACAGGGGACATGGAACAAAAGCTACTTTATTTTTCTCTGTGTCCTCTGTACGTTCATTGTTGAAGTTGTAATGCCGAAGAAAATTGGGTAGGGCATTCAGATGTACAGAAACCATCCTGCAGAACAACAGAATAGATGAGCTGCTTCAGTTACTGCTCGTGATTTCAGAACATTGCTGCTCTGGGATTTCTTTCTTCCAGGCAGTGGAAACTAGTCAGATTTAAAAACTTTTAGTACTGGAATACTTCTAGGTCAGGACTTGAAAGCAGCCTCTAGCCTAGGTGAGTATGGTTGTATGCCTTAAGCCTTGCCCAAGAGAAGTATTACAAAGTACTACTACAAAACCCACACAAAAGTGCTGGAGTGCCTCTTTATGAAAGCTGACCTATTTCAACAGAAATCTTACTCTTCAAGGTGAAATACCATTGCTCATTTGGATTTCCACATGTTCCACGTAGATGACGTTGTTTGTCAGTTTTCAGTCATCAAGGAAGGCAGCAGGTATGCAGGGTGCATTCCGAGCTGAAACCCATCTCCCTGTCCCTTGGGAGCTGTGCACCTGCAATGCTTGAGGGCAGCCACTAACACACTCTGCAGCAGCTTAGCTGGAAACACTTCCAAAGCTGTTTCTCCATGCTTGGAAATATTTGAAAATTGTCTAGATATGGTCCCAGGCAGCTGGCTCTAGGTGAGCCTGCCTCAGCAAGGAGTTGGACCAGATGACTTTTAGAGGTTCCTCTCAACCTCAACCATTCTGCAATTCTTGCATGTCTCCAATGTGCAGCAAACAAGACACAAAAATTGTTTCTCAGCTGGGCTCTTTTTAGTCTCCAAGGCAGGCAAGATGGTAGGGTAAGACCAGAACTACTGGATTCTCTTGCTTCAGTTCAAATAGATCCAAACAGACCCGAGGAAATACCTTAATGTTAAGATCCTCATTAAACAACAAGCGCAATTAAAATAAATAACTTAGCTTATGAAGACTGAGGCTGCTGAACCACTTTATTTGATACATCCAGTTCATTTGCTACCTGTCAGAAACATGAAGGGCAAAGTCCCTGCAGACATGTGTGCTCACCAGATATCAGGGAGCCATGAGCAGTTCACTGTGCAGTGCCCTTTCCCTTACAGATGTCACAGACCCAGGATGCACCAGCAGTGTATCCTCAAATCAGCAAAATGCAGAAGCCATTTACAGATCAAGCTAGGCAGTGTATCTGCCCAGACATGAAATGTCCCAGCACACAAACACAACCAAGACCTAGCACCAAAGTGGCAGCATAGGTTTCAGCTGCATGGCTGAAGCCATCCTTTAAAACCCCAAATTTACCTTTATATGGTAATTTCATAGTAAACTCTGTTCATCACATTGAACTCATCACACATTCAGATCTTTTCTAATTGATCCTTTAATGAAATTTCATGAGAGATTTTGAAATAAATAAATGGCAACTGAACGCCTACATGTCATACACCACTGAAAAATGAGCTACTAGAGCAACTGTAGAAGCAACAGATAGGATGACACTGAAGAGGACAAAAAGTAAAACTTAAACAAGAAATTATGAAGGATTTATAATGAAATGTCAATTTTCCATTTCTCTTGTATTTGCCTACCAGACAAACTACGTCAAAATACTTCAATAGAAATAATAAAATGAACTCAAGCTTCTGTTCTCTCATCCTGCAGAGATTTCTAACAAAGTAAAGAAGGGAAGCACCATTCCCACAAGTTCTACCAAGGAAAAAGCCAACAAGAGCACGGCAAGCTCTTCAACTCCCTATCACAAACCAGAAAAAAACCAAACCTCAAAGTGAGTTTTGCTGCTCTCCAGCCCATTTTACACCTCTATGTACACAAAAATACATTTTTATATACAGTTTCAGAAACAAAGAGAAGTGGCTTTCAGATTTAATATGGGTGCTCCAAGCAGTCATCCTAAGAATCAGTAAAAGTTCTCAGCTTTCCTGCTTGGCTGCCACTACTGGTGAGTCTGACCACGAGACACAATTGTAAGACTTTACTTGAATCTGTAAACTGTGAAAACTTATTGTCATTTTCCAAGAATGGGTAAACAGACTACAATAAATTACTTCCCTGGAATCACAAAGGAACTGGGAATTGCCCATTGTTTCCCAAGTCCATCCTGTGGCTCATGGTTACTGTTGCAGTGGTCTGGGGGCGTAGCTTTTACCCCCATACCACTATACAGCCCTGAAAATGAGGACCAGGGCTTCAGGAATTTCCTTCTGGCATACAGCTCAGGGTTTTATGTGATTTACCATCTTAATCAGTTCTACTGTCAACAAAAAGCAATCTGAACATAATCACAGAAAAAACACTATATAGATTTTTTTTTTCAGTATTTTCTCCCCGTAATCATGATGTTATTTCCAGCTGCTCAGAAACAGAGAACTGATTCACACTGATAAGTGAATTCTGTCTGTGCACTACAAAAACACCCTGAGATGTTTACTATCGGAGTATTTTCCTTTTTTTTCCCACTAAAGATATTTCTGAACAGCAAAGATCAGAAGAAAATTCCAAGTGCATCTATTGTGTTGAAATGAACACCATTCATCCATACCAGGAGTTTAATCAAATGAATACATCGCTATTGTTTTTAATATAGTAATTCTTTCATGATCACTGCATGTTCTAGGAAAACAACTACTGAAAACAATGAAAGAGAAATACCAAAAGTTACAGCAATCCAACTGCAAATCCTTAGAACATGAGTCATATTTTCATTAATAGCATCGGAAGTCGCTTCCATTAGTACTTCAGCGATGCTTCCTGACCCTGCATCTATCCCGTGCAGTACACAGAATTCACACCAA